CCAAATCAATTAAGCTTATGAGAAATTTGAATCAAGGATTGAATTTGGAAAAACTTGAATAAATGATGACAATTTTCATTTTTGGGTGAACTATCCCTTTAACAGTAGTGAAAAGGGAGCAACTTATAGTTGTTCATGTTGTTCATATATAATATATATAATTATATAATTTAGAATTTTTGAAAAAGAAGCAGAATAGACAAATATGACAAATATGAAAGAGATACAAACTAAACTCATTTTTCAGATACAGTAGGTTTACTTAACATATATATTTAACATATTTTGTTGGTTAACATTAATGACACAGATAATGACACGGATAGGTACTTAATTAGGAATGCTGTCCCTTTAAGACGGAAGGCATGCATGTAATACTGACACGCGTTCAGTTTTCACCATAGACTGTAAAAAAACATGGACATAGTGTCCGTGACGTCACTCGTAGGGTTCAGAAGAGCATATTTGAAGCCTAAAGTGGGCGGAGCCGCCATCCGCCATCTTGGCAGTGCGTCACACCCGGATAATCGAAAATGGGCAAAAAGGCGGGACGTGCTGAGGCACTAGGCACTAGTTGCTGAAAGCATGCCCGTCTATGGTGACAGCAGCGCTGCCGTGCAAAGACAAAACACCATAACCTCGTTTTTGGTCGAAATTAGTTATTGATAATTTTGGGACATATATGACCTCCTTTATCATGTGTATAAGTATCTTGGAGAAAAGCCCCGGAGAAACCAAGGCAGAACACAGTATCACCAGTTACCTCTCTTTGATTTTGTTTTAGACCGGTCAAATTAAGTTACGGTGCTCTGCATTTGTTTAGCCGTTCGTCAATATTACTGTGCCAGCCTGGAGTTATACTGTATTCTGCCTTTGTTTTACTGTACATTAATGCCATGACATGCCATGACAGCGTATCACATAAAATCAGTTACTGTTCGCAATTAAGTCCATTTCCAGCATTATCCCTGCTGGCGTTCACATCAATCCACAAGTCGTTCTTAGGTTAAGCTATTCAGTTCGATGTAAAAACAATAGGCTAAGTATGTATTGCATCCTTTAATGTTAGCGAACATTGCAAATAAATTGGTTGCAAAACGGTATCCACTGACGTTTAACTTTTTGTCTGGTTGTTATGGTCAGAAAAATTATGATATGATGAATTATGAAAACTATGATTCTGTAAATGGTGATCAGCACCCAAATATTGTATATAATATTGAAGCTACTGCCTTTTGCCTTGGCGTGACCTACAGTAACTTCAAAATAGCGGTAAAAATCAAGTTTGAGATCATTTTCATTAAAGGGGTCATATGATGCTGCTAAAAAGAACATTATTTTGTGTATTTGGTGTAATGAAATGTGTTTATGCGATTTAAAGTTAAAAAAACACATTATTTTCCACATACTGTACATTATTGTTTCTCCTCTATGCCCCGCCTTTTTGAAACGCGTTGATTTTACAAAGCTCATCGGTCTGAAAAAGCGAGGTGTGCTGTGATTGGCCAGCTATCCAATGCGTTGTGATTGGCTGAATACCTCAAGCGTGAGATATATCAAAACATTATTTATGCATTTGTAATTGCAGGTTAAATGCATTCATGTCTTGCATTAAACAAAATACATGTGTGTAAATACATCTAAATGCCACTTCAGATGCAGCTTCCGTGTTGATTTAATTTGCTTGGTAACAGGCCAAATGTCTTATTATTCTAATTCACTGATTAAATGTAAGAATTTGACTCAAAAGATAATGGACACTTTTAGAAAAAAATGGCTTTATAAAGGTAAAAATGCCCATAAAATGCAAAAATCAGTTTAAACTTATTGGAAAAGATTAATTTCTATCAGTATGAACTGACCACCACACAGAATATGAAGAATATTAAAAACATTAGGAGTCAGCTGTCTTCGGCAGTCCTTAAGGTACCAGCACAATAACACACTCAGCAAAATATTGTCTAATTATCGTTATCGATAAAATCCCATAAAATATCGAGATATAATTTTTTGTCAATATCGCACACCCCTAGATAAGACACCTGAATCCATTAAATGCAGACCTCACTGCAGACCAGTTTCTTGCATCTACATGTACAGTAATGGAAGCTCCAGGAAGGTGTCAGAAA